CATCTTGAAACATGCCCCTTAACATCCAGGACTTTAACATAAGTAAGGCTGAGATTCTGGATAGACCCAAGGGGCTTAAAACTAACAAATCCCCTGAGACGGATGAACTGTATCCAGGGTACTTAGGGAGACGGGGCAGATTTGTGTAGCACTGACATACATTATGAGGGAGTTGATTAGGTCTGGGGGGATTCCAATAGACTGAAAGCATTTTTCCAACAGCTATCATACAACCCTCTCTACACTAAATGACACATTAAGAGCAGATTGATGCAGAGCAATTAGAAAGTTATCTTCCACAGTTCTTTTTATAAAAAAAGGCTAGCAAATTAAGGAATTAACTTGAGTTAAAGAATTTTCCAAAGTTCTCCAAGAATTTACATTTCAATACAAAATGGTTTTACAGACTAAGACTAGGTAGAATTATGGACATCTGGGGCCTTAATGCACAAAATCTGAAGCTCGGTTTTATTGTTGTGGAAGTATGTAAAGATCTTGCCAAAGATGATAAACACCACAAAAATGTATTAGCTCACAAAGAGTTTATTGATCAAGTAGAAAGTAGGAATCCAATAATGATCCATTCTGAATAAAAAATACTGATGGTGCAAAAGATAAAAGTGAAAATAATGAAAAGTGACTGATGTTCAGAATTCTGAGAGAAATGTCAAAACTAAATTATAGATTTGGAGCCAAGAGTGTAAGATAACTGTTCTCATCATGTAAAAAGTTTTCTATGCAGCTGAATACAACAACAAAATTACAATTGTATAGCACCTTTCACATCAGGAGGATGTCCCAAGGCGCTGGACAGACAAAGTTACGGACCCAAGCTAAGGGTCGGGTGGGGGAGGGCAAACGGGAAAGCAGGGAAATCGAAAGCACGGTCGAAGAGGAGGGTCTTGAGGTGGGTCTTGAAGGTGGCGAGATGCAGGGACTGCGGGATGGAGTTCCAGAGGGTGGGTACAGAGTGGCGGAAGTCCCACCCGCCGATAGTGGGGCGAGCAAGGCAGGAGACATGAAGCAGACCAGAGCCCGCTGAGTGGAGGGAGCGAACAGAATGGTAGAGGGTTAGGAGGTTGGAGAAGTAGGGGGCAGCAAGACCATGGAGGACTTTGAAGGTGAGGACCAGGATCTTGAACTGTATCCTCCGTGTGATGGGAAGCCAGTGGAGTTGGGCAAAGATGGGGGTGATAGGGTCGCAGAGCCTAGTGCGGGAGAAGACATGGGCTGCAGAGTTCTGGATGATCTGCAGCCTGTGGAGGGAGGAGTTAGGGAGGCCGACAAGCAGTGAGTTTGCATAGTCGAGCCTCAGATGAGAGCTAACTTTCTTCAGTTGAACGTCAGCAAGACCGAGGCTCTCCTGATTGGCTCCCGTCAGCACCTCTTCACCTCAGGCACTGACAGCATCACCATCCATGGTTGCACACTCCACCTTGCTAAGCCAGTCCGGAACCTTGGGGTCTTGTTTAACCCTCAACTATCCTTTCTACCCCACATCTGAGCCATGACCGCTCTGCCTTCCCCACTTCCGCAACCTCACCCGGCTCCAACACTGTCTCACATAGGCCGCTGAAACCCTCACGTGAAGGGCACTATATAAATGCAAGTTGTTGTTGTTGAGTCCTCTTGTTCTGTTCTCGCAGTTTGGCACATAACTATATTGGGTTTGGAATGTCTGCATTTGTTAACATTACGAATACCTCATACCCTCTGTTACAGATGATGGATTTATCCATATACAGCCTGAACATTTGATTTTCATTTCTAATTTCTTAATTCTTCTGAATAGAATATTTAATAATATTCAGCTGAATGTTGGATCTTCTTTTAACCAAGTTATTATCTTTCAAATCGTATCTTTCTATTCATAATGTTAGTGAATGAAGTAAATCCAATTATCATATTGCATTAGAAGTGCTCCTGGATGCTACCTCGTATAAAGGGTGCTATATAAATGCAAGTAGTTGTTGAAGGAACTGTTCATTATTTGATGTTTCTTTAGAGAGTGAAGAGCCAAAGTCTCAGTTACAGAGGCAGCTGTATTGGCATGTTCTGGAAATCTTCCAGAGAATAAAGCCAGTGTTCAGGTAATGTTTGTGAGGCTGCAACAACTGTTGGGACCACTTGAGGATGTGAAGTGAACTTTAAAAGGAAGTGTAGACTTTCTGGAATAAACGGTAACTTCCTGATATAATGTTCGAGAAGTTCGCAAGTTCCATTTGTGTAAATTAATTATTAAAGTAATTAATGCAGTTAATCTGAAGCATAGTTAATGTATAAGGCAGTTCAGAGCCCCCTTTGATGTATCATTATGTTAAAAAGCAGGTGGTTGAGGCCAGGACACTGAACTCATTTAAAAAAAAACTCAATGTGTGAGTGGTAGGGCGGATATCATAGGAGGATGAGATCAGATGGGCCAAAGGGCTCTCATCATCCAAACCAATCTTGTGAAAACACCTAATCATAATAGAACTATTAAAAGGCCACATCATCTACATTGAGGATTCTTGCTCTACAAGTCTCTGGTGTCAGATATAAATCATATTAGTGTACATATATATTTTATTATGAATTATATTATAAAATATATATCCTGTTTATATGTCTAAATTCTATCACTTGCTGTACACTAGGTGTAGTAGTTGTATTTAGATGTACAGTCCGCTACTGAGTATTCTATTAGGACAACACAATTTACCTTTTCCTCTTTTGTACTGAGATTGCTGGCCACTATTTAGTTGCCAAATACCTGCTCAGATTCCAGCTTTCTGCTTGGTTCCCATCTCGCTAGGTTGGTTGAATATTCCTTCCATCCTACTAGATTTACATCATAAATATCAAATTCTGGCAGTTCTGACACAAAATAATGAATTGTGGAGACAAGCTGAGTATCACTGCAGGTTAGAGCTTTGAACATAAGACAGTATGCAAAACAAAAGTATCTATATTGATTACACTCAATCCTCTGAGCTTTCCACACGGCTGCCTTGAGAGGCCACCTAACTGTGGAATTTATCATTGCTATTATGATATTCTCCATTTTCTCTTGTTCTCCAACACAATAATACAATGGAGACAATCCCAGTATAAATAGCAGGACTGAAAGCCTATTAATGGTGCAGGACCTAAAGGACTAATAGAGATTTCCACTTCCTTTACTAATGTCCAACCTCCATCATGTTCTCTCACTGGAGAATGAGAGAACAAACTGACCATGAAGCCAGAAATTACCATCAAAGTCCATAGAGTAGGAGATCACAATCTCATGAGACTGTCACCGAATGCAGAAGAGGCTTACCAGAAGATGGATCCACCAACAGGTGACTGGAATCCTCAGATATATCAGGATATCTGTAAGGTTTAGGATCAGGCTCAACTGGCATTTCTCACAGCAATGTGGATTTATTATAATAATCCTTACATTCGATAAAGTGCCATGTTGAGTCTCACAGTTTCAAACTCTTCACAAGCAATTACTGTTCAGCGTACCAACTGAACTGTAGGTGATCACATTTACAGACGGCAATGTCCCACAAACCGATACAAAATGAATCACCATTTTATGTAGGGGATTATTGGCCAGGACACTGAGAGAAACTCCCTTTTCAAATTGTGCCATGGATTATTTAAAGTCCAACTGCAAAAGCAAAACTGACTTGTTTTAAAGTCTCATTCAAAAAAAGGCACCTCTGACAATGCAACACTCCCAACACTGCACGGTGAGCCTAGATCATTAGTGTGCCTTTCATGTAGAAAAACGTTTCAACCTACAGGGACAGTACAGGACACAATGTAGGCCAAAAAGTAAGACGGGGGGGGGAGGGGGGTGGGGGAGAGAGAAAGATGACCGAAGCTTGTCAAAAGGTAGTTTAAGAAAATGTTTAATAGGGCGAGACAATGCATAGGTAAATCCAGCAGAGGCATAGTGGCTGAAAGCTCAGCTGTGGATCTGTCTGCAGAGTTCTGAATCAGTTGGATCTTACGTGGTTCTGAATAATACAGGATTAGAACAGGAATAAAGATATTGCAGACCACTACAATCTTGAAAATGGAGATTATATGAAATGTGGAATGGGATTGAGAAGGTAGACACAGAACATTATTTAGATGTGCCGAGGCAGTTGGAGGACAGGAATTCAGGGTTGGAGAATTCTAGGTAAGAGACATGTAATCAAATGCAGAGAGAGTTGGGGAGATGAGGGTTTGTAAGTCTCCATGCGTAGGGAAATTAGGGAACTGTGTCGGTGGAGTAAGAAACTGCAATGAGAGGCGAACGGTTGAGATGATTTGAATGGTGCTCAAGAGTGTGAAGGAGTGAATCTGGAGTGGAGGGGGGGGGGGGGGGGGGGGAAGGGGCCACAAGACTGAAAGTGGCCTATCAGTCAGTGGTGCCAGAGAAGTGTGGGGTCAAGGGATAAAAAAAATAAACCAACGTTGAAAAATAGGCAAATTAATGTAATAGCTAACCAGATAAAAGGAATAGAGATCACTATCAAGTAAAAGATTAAAGCTTTCAGGAGCAGCTATGTACATTGCAATAGCTCTGTAAAGGGTGGGGAAAAATACCAGTTGAGGTTCATCTCATCCCTTCACCTTCACAGGTTTCAATTCTCTGTCAAACATTAAATGGTACTGGACACAGCATCAAGTGCACAGTTTGCATCACTCTGCTCTCTCATTTGGAGGATTATCAGTGGTGAAGTGAAAGGAAAGTGAAGGGTAACATTTCTCAAATTCTGCCACACAAATTTTCCCATATTCTGTGAAGTGCTTTGAAACATCTAGAAGATGTGATAAGGCATCATATCAAATGTAAGGATCATTATTATACATCCTTCTTTGGTTCTATATTTGTATGTAGTATTACAGAATTATTTAGGCAAATTTGCTTAATTCCTCTTTCTGAAAGTGGTGATCTTAAATGAGCCATTTCAAATGTGAGTACTGAACACGTAAATGAATGAATGCAGTAATACAAGTCAGTCAAACAGAAGTTATTCACAGTATATATTTTTAATGCATATACAAATGAAGTGGAAGGCGATATTCACCCAACAGGGACATTTGTGAAGTTACAATATTTTAATATTGTTAGAGACCTTATTGCACAAGACAACAGAAGTACTCAGTTTCAAGACAACAGCTTCTCTTTGGGCTTTACACCTGAAGCTTCAGTGATTAGAAATGCAAGAACACACTGAATCCTATTTCAAATAATTCACTAGAATCTAGTTACCTGTGCACTTTGCATCATATTCCTTACATTTTAAGGCATCATCTTTCTCACAGTATGTACACCAATAATTGGCTTTTTACTTGTTTGATGAGTAATGACACAATGAAACCTGATTTCGGGTTAGTAAAATGATTGTTTTGATGAGAATGATTGTAGATAAATTATGAATTAAACAGAGAATCATAAATGCATATGATCTATTTTCTGAAAACTAGTGCAAAAGTGGAAGAGAAAAGCCAGGTCAATTTGAAGGGCAGGAATGCAGTTAAATCCTACAAATCAGGTACAGTCCTCAAGTCTCCCATCATTACTAAGCAGCAAATTTTCCAATTATTTGAGTCGCTATTCTTGTTCCTTTAGCCCTTTCAGCTTTCGTCAACTGCTGAGCTACATAAACATTAGCAGACAATGATCCATTAGCACTGATGCATTACACAGCAATGACAATTTGGCAGTTCTTCATACAGTATGTACTGAGGCATTTCATTAGCCTCCTCAACCTCACATTGTTCTCAATTGAATCTAAATGGCACATCACCCAAGCAATCTACATACTTCCCAATATTAATCACATTTAAAATGATCTCTAATTGGAGGCACCATTATATTAAAAAGGTAACACTTTGACCTGCCCGGCATGCAGGCAAGGAGTTCTCTCAGAATTCAACAGATACCCAACCTATACCTAGACCCTACCTATCAGTGTGAAACAGCGACTCTCCACTTCATAAGTCGCTTGGTTCAAGTATTGGAAATCATGTCATTGATTCTCTTAAAGGGAGGACTTCAAAAACCATACCAGTACTAATGTTAGTGTGGGGAGGATTTGAGAATGAAGAATGAAGTTGATGCAAGTGAAACAACTTTGAATTCCTAAATAACTTTTGCACAAATGCAAGAAACATAGCATTATTTAAAACAAACAGAAAGTAGGAAAGCCCTGATAGCACCGAACAATCAACCAGAAGGTTGAGATTTCAAATTCCACAGTATTTACCAGACCACGTACACCTCTGCTAAGAGTAGATTTTAACCATTCCGTGACATTTCACAAATATATCAGCTCACCATTGGAATGGGAAAGGAAGACATGATGACTGTCCGCTTATACATTAGTGATGGGTTGCTTCGAAGGGAAAGTAAGAGAGAGGGAGAGAGAGAGAAAAAAAGAGAAAAAAGTTAAACGAGGATTTTTAAAAAAAGTCAGTATTTTAGACATTAGTTTCCTATTCTGCATAAATTACAGCAGAGATCGAGGACAAGTCATTATGTGACTTTTGGTTTCCTAAAAAACACGATAGAAAGCAAAATTATTTTGCAAGAGAAGTTTTTCCATTTTTCTTTCAAAGCAGGTATAATACAAACAGTGCTAATGGTATCAAATTAAATGGAAGGACTTAAATACTAAATATTGTATTCAATTCCAATATTTCAGAACAACATTTTAGACAAGGATCTTTACAATAACCATTTTAAATGACTATTAATACATAATAGCACTCCATCACACTATAGGCTCTAATATTACAGAAAATATGGGCATTCACAAAATGAAATTATATATATAAAAGCAAATTCTGCAACAATACTGATTCATAATGCAAAAAATCTAGGAATACAGAAAAATAAATTGGAATTTCCTGCATTCGAACCTAATGCTGCCCTTCCCATTGCTTGGTTAGGTTCATTATCCTTGCCTTACCATCTCATCAAGCCAGCAATACAACACAAACGGTAATGTAAGAGATCAAATATCTAGCAAAATGTGAAATGTCATAATATGAAAATGCATAATGGAGATTGTATACAGGATATTGTATATATTACAGCCAGTAAAACTAACTTCAAGCTGAAATTACTTTTCATTTGGTTTAGTAATGAGGAGCTCGATTGCACTATAACCTAACAATCCCAAGCTATGATGCAGTTCTATTTCTTAATTTTAAGTTTGTGCAACATTTGAAGTACAGCAACAAAATTGCTTCTTCAGCTACAACTACTGCAATAACTATAGCAATACTGGATGATTACTACTGATAACAGTGAGTAATTAAATGTGTACCTTTCTGAAATGTTAATCACAAGTACGACTGTTGCTTTATATGGACATTTCATCGTACCAGTTATAAACTGCATTAAAACCGTCAAGAATTTACATTTTGCTTGCTTTAACCATTCATATATGCACCTTACAAGTTCTTGAAAACACCATGATTTATGTAGTGTTCCTGGACATCTTCAGATGTAGGAACTATTTGAAACATGAGCCTATTTTTAACGCTTCTGTTTGGAACATTCATTTTTCTGGGTAACAAACAAGTAACCTGTTTTGGAGGGAAGAAAAAAAGTATATTTCGGTAGTTAAGCCTCTAAAGTCCTCTCCCGATCCCTCTTTTTGGGAGCAGTGTTCAATAAGTTCCCTTTTAAAAAGCATTTTTTTCCCCTGATGTTTTTTGTGCTTAGAAAGCTGAGGAATGATAGTGCTGGGAAATGGAATGCTTTCCTCCCATTTGGGGCACACAGCATCAGCACCAAACACCCCCAGGTCAGATTCAGCACAATTAAATGCACAGTAAAGCTCTCCTCACATCTCAGAAGAGAACATCTACCCCAATCCCTCCCCACACCACTACTGACATTTTCAATTCCTTGTACCAGCCATGCTGTTTTCACTCAGTATATGCTGTCAAATGAAGAGCAATTTACTGATGAATCTGGGCAACTAGAAACTGTCCAAACTCAGTTCGCCATTGCCAACAGATAAGAGGAAACTTTTGTGCCTTTGGGTCTGGGCTGGACCTAAAGATCAAGGGGCTAACATATTGCACAACCTAAACTCTGTAGAAATTACAACTGCTGATCAAAATCAGTTCATGTTTTTAAGACGGAAAGCTTGGAATACAAACACAAAGCACTAATCACTGATGTAATGTAGGTTACCAGAATAAAACACAAATTCCCTTTTAAAGGAGGGGATTTGTTTCCCAACCAATGATATCACTGAACAAAAACAGCACATAGACTAAACTGAAAACCACATTCAGAAAACGGCACCTCACAAAAGTGTTCTAATTTCATCAAAAAAAATTCCAACAAAATTATACAAACACCTGAACTGTACAAATTACACTCTGGAAACCTAACTGTCCCACAGCTACGCTTTGTGTGAACATTTTGTGCAACTGACATTCTACAAAAACGGTTCATCAGTTTGAAGGTTGTTTTCAAAAAAAGGAAAAATTCCTTCATTTTGTGCTGAAGCAGTCATACCACTTAACCACTGCAGAACAGTCTTGCATTTGTAGATTGGTTCAGTAGATAGAATCCCTTTATTTATAGTTACCAACTGTAGGTCACGACACCACTGGAGTCATATCCCAGAGCTGTAGAGAAAAAGTAGTTAGATAAACCGTGAATAAATGATCGACCTTTGTAAGATTTGCATTTAACTAAACTCAAATTTAACCCTTGAAGGTTTCAACGTGCATTTTATTCCTTTAAGAATGATCCTTTTTTTACTCTTTTTGAGAGCCAACAACACAGCCCTCCGAGTGTGTTGCAGTAATATAACAAATTGCACATCACAGTGCTCTATGTAGATGACAGGATTTGGTGGTGCTCATGGTGCTCTGTGTGGAATTTCCATTGCATCTTAATAACTTGGGATTCAATCTCAATATTCCAATCTAGCCATTCTTACTGTCATTTTCTAGTCTTTCCCATCTGCAGTGCAGAACAAGTCTTCAAAGATTTCAGATACAAATCTAACACGTTGCTTAATGTGAACTGTCGTGCAGATAAACAGAGGCTCGAACATGCATTGCAGAAGCAGAGTAAGCTGCAGCATTTGTGTTTTCCCATTGTGTAAAATTTCAAAAGACAAAATGGAACACAATTCTTCCTACCTTGATAACTCTGTCATTGCCAGATGTCAAAAGCCAGCCTCTGGTTATATCAAAATGCATGTGGACCACATGATGTTTACTGTCATGGAAAGTAGCTGTGGGTGCTCGACTGAGGTCAAGTTAATGGAGAGTAGAAAAATTAACATTTTACAATCACAACAGCAACATATCTGAAACTTCATTCTTAAATTACAGCTCAGTTCCTCGGGGCGTTTATCTAAAAATAACCTGCCTTATCTCGCACATGCTAGAAGTGATTCATACAATTGAAGCAAGGAAGTGAAATTTTATGATGAGAAATAGTTTGAAATGTTATTCTATAAACCCAATATCAGTATTCCTCAGTTATGTTTTGTTGAGGATCACAATTCTAAGCAATGCTTTTCTCAATGGCCACTTTCAGGAATGGTCCAACACCCAGTACTACAGAAAGTGTGAAATTCACCACAGTGAGCTCCCTATTTCAATCATTCCACCTTGTGAAATTGTCTAGCAAAAACAAAGGGGGAAAATTTTGCAGAACCAGTCTTAATTTTGAAGCTGTAAGTCCTATAACTTTAACAGAACATTTCCAGTCACTCTATGAATATGGGGATTCGTTTTCCTCCTATGTCAGGTTTATTGCAGCAAAAGAGCAATTGGCAGGAGACATTCACTGATTTCATCAAAGCTTTATAACGTTTTAAAGGGAAACTATGGGGGAAGATCTTGAAACAAAAACCTTCCTCTAAAAATGTTGTATTTTTGAGAGGCTATGAATGTAAATATTACACAATGCAAAAACATTGCTGCTATTGAAGGGCTGGGATGAAATTCAGATGTACTGTGTTCTATTAAATGTACTATTATATCTGTACGGCACCTTTCACATCGGGAGGGCGTCGCAAGGCGCTGGACAGTCAGGGATTTGGACCTGAGCTGGGGGTCGGGATCGGGGAGGGTGGAAGGCAGGGAGGGTGGCCAAAGGCTCGGTTGAAGAGGAAGATTTTGTAACGTGCCTTGAAGGAGGCAAGGGAGGGAGTGAAGCAAAGGAAATGTGGATGGGGGGCAGAAAAGCAGACCGCTAATGGCCGGCCAGGCGGGGGACGTGGAGCAGGCCAGAGCCTGCTGAGCAAAGGGAGCGGACAGGTTGCTGTGGGGTCTGCAGGTCGCAGAGGTAGGGAGCAACAAGGCCATGGAGTCCTGTAGCTCAGTGGTTAGAGCACTCGCTTTGCAAGTGAGAGACCTGAGTTCAATTCCAGTCAGGGCGAAACCTTGGGCAAGTTTCCTTACTCCACACGCCTAATAATAATCCCTCCAAAAAACCCAAAACAATAATAAATTGGTCATTTTCAATCTACGACTGTTTGTGGGACATTGCTGTGCGCAATTGGCTGCCGCGTTCGCCCACAAATATACAGTCAATTCACTTTACAGTATATTCTGTGAAGCGCTTTGGGACGTCCTCCCGACGTGAAAAGCGCTATATCAAATGCAAGGATTATTATTATTATTATGAAGGGCCTTGAAGCTGATGAGAAAAATCCACAAATGCATTTTAACTGATTATAAGTAAATTAGAGGATGAGTTTATGGAATGCATTCAAGATAATTTTCTGGAACAGTATCCTGAGGAACCAACCAGGGAACAGGCGATCCTAGATCTTGTATTGTGTAACGAAGTAGGGCTATTCAGTAATCTTGAAGTTAAGGCTCCTCTAGGGCAGTGACCATAATATAATGGAATTTAATATTAAGTTTGAGAGTGATGTAGTTAAGTTCGAAACAAGGGTCTTAAACTTAAATAAAGCCAACATTGTAGGTATGCGGGACGATTTGGATAAAAGAGACTGGGAAAGTAGATTAAAAGATATGACGGTAGACAAGCAATGGCAAACATTCAAAGATAAAAGAAGAGGCCTATATTATTGCCAAAAAGTGCTGTAAACCTGAGGATTGGGAGGGCTTTAGAGATCAGCAAAGGATAACCAAGAAAATGATTACGAGGAAGAAAATGGAATATGAGTAAACTAGCTAGAGATATAAAGACAGGTTATAAGAGCTTTTACATGTATATACAGAGGATGAGATTAACAAAAGTAAATGTTGGTCCCTCACAGGCAGAGACCGGAGAAATTATAATGGGGAATAAAGAAATGGCAGAGTCACTAAACAAATATTTTGCTTCTATCTTCACGTTAGAAGATACTAAAAACTATAAAAGAGATAGTGGATATATTGTTTGATCTTCCAGAATTCCCTGGATTGGAAGGTCGCAAACGTAACACCGCTATTTAAGAAGGGTGGGAGAGAAACAATGGGGATCTATACTCTTGACATTGGTGGTAGGGAAAATTCTAGAGTCTATAATTAGGGATGTCGTCGTGGGGCACTTAGAAAGTCATAATATGATTAGGCAGAGTCAACACGGTTTTATGAAGGGGAAATTGTGTTTAACAAATCTTTCAGAATTTTTTTTGAAGATGTGACTAGCAGGTTAGATAGGGGGGAACCAGTGGATGTAGTGTATTTGGATTTTCAGAAAACATTTGACAAGATGCCACATAAAAGATTGTTGCATAAGATTAGGGCTCATGGAATTAAGGGTAATATATTAGCATGGATCGAAGAGTGGTTAACAGGCAGAAAACAGAGAGCAAGGATAAACAGGCACTCCTCAGATTGGCAGGTTGGGACTAGTAGAGTGCCGCAGGCCTCAACTGGTTACAACAACAACAAGATTACATTTGTATAACGTCTTTCATGTTGGGAGGATGTCCCAAGGCTCTACAGACTGCATCAATGACTTGGATGAGGAAATAGAGCTTAATGTATCTAAATTCACAGACGATACAAAGCTAAGTGGGAAAGTAAGCTGTGAGGAGGACACAAGGGATATAGAAAGGTTAAGTGAGTGGGCAAGAAGGTGGCAGATGGAGTATAACATGGGGAAGTGTGAAGTTATTATTCACCTAGGTAGAAAAAATAGAAAAGCAGATTATTTTCTAGAAGGGGAGAGACTAGGTTGTGTTAGTATTCAGATGGATTTAGGTATACAGGTACAGCAAGCATTTAGAAAGGCTAATAGCATGTTAGCGTTCATTCAAAGGGGTTAGAGTACAAAGTAGGGAAGTCTTGCTGCAAATGTATTGGGCCTTGGTGAGAACACAGCTAGAATATTGTGTGCAGTTTTGATCTCCTTATCAAAGGAAGGATATGCTCGCCTTAGAGGGGGTGCAACGTAGGTTCACTAGATTGGTTCCTGGGATGAGGGAATTGACCTACGAGGAGAGGTTGAGTAGACAAGGCCTATATTCTCTAGAATATAGAAGAATTAGAGGTGATCTTATAGAAATCTATAAGATTCTTAAGGGTCTTGATAGGGTAGATATTGTGAGACTGTTTCCCCTGGTTGGAGAATCTAAAATTAGGGCTCATAGTCTCAGGATTAACGGTCAGCCTTTTCGAACTGAGTTGAGAAAACATTTCTTCACTCAGAGGGTAGTGAATTTATGGAATTCTCTACCCCAGAAAGCTGTGGATGCTCAGTCATTGAACATATTCAAAACTGAGATCGATAGATTTTTAAAAACTTAAGGGTTATGGGGATAGGGCGGGAAAATGGGATTAGGTTAGAAGATCAGCCATGATCTCATTAAATGGGGGGCAGGCTCGAGGGGCCATATGGCCTACTCCTACTTTTTAAGTTTTTATAATGATTGAAAAAGGACAGTTATAATAAGAGTAAGTTACACAATCGATTGCAACATAGAGAAGCTACAAACGTACATTACTCAGCTTAGGTTTAAATTGATGAAATAAAGCTTAAGGATTTCCCAACAGCAGGAACCATTCTTAGAAACTTTATAAAATCACATCAGCTTTGATTTAAATGTAGATTACTCTTGTAATACATCAATGTTACTGTTCAGCATCCCAACCGGCAGATCAAACTGATCTGTTAAAACGCCTGTCATTTCTAAACATAGGTGAATGCCCTGATTCTGCACAAATTCATGATTCTGACATTAATGGCATTAATATCATCTTGAATCACATTATATCTAATAGCTAACCAAAGCTTATTCAGAAGCTTCCCTTGATCCATTCAGTATGCAGCATCTGTGTAAAGAGCATCACTCAACAGAAAACAAAAAAGATTCTCGTTACTGTTTCAACTCCAACTCGAAGTCTGTATCATTCAACAATTCTGATCCAAATTTGTTTTTAAAGTACTAAAATTAATTTGCTGTGCTGTCAATGGGAATTTGATTTAAAACATTTCATGGACAAATTTGATTTCACAAGTCTTTACGTGATTTTTGTCTCAAAATGAATGCTCTGAAACTAATTGCGCAACATTGTAAAGCCCTTGCTAAATAGCATCTAAATAATAAATAAAATAAGGAAGTGGTTCTGAATAAAAATGATTTACCACTTTATTTAATAGTCAGCTGTTTGAAACACCCGATTCATGTTAAGTGGGATATCCACACTTGTTATTTAAAAGTGCTTTTAAACAAGCAAAAGAAGCCTCTACTCAATGTAAATTTACAGTATACTTACTCTTCATCAGTTATTGATTCACAGCAGCTGTCACAGACCCGCACTTCAAATTCAAATCCCATCAGTGGGATTGTGGAACGCTTTGAACTACACTTCCCACACATTGCCTTCCCACACTTCCGGCAGTGGTGCTGCACGAAATAAACGGGGGGGAGGGGCGGGGGGAGAAAAGAAAAATTATGGCATTGGCAATTCAGTCTGAGATTATAGAATACAGATTCCTATGGAAAAATAATATATGTAATACTTTCGCTTGATACAATGGGACTTTATACAATGTTACCATGAAATATAATGACTATTGCTATTGAATAATCTGAAGCTTGTGGAGGAAAAAGTTGGGAAGTCCAGTGAGCAGGGAGTTAGTGTAGCCAAGCCTGAACGGAATGGGAAGAGTTAGTGCCAGAAGCCAATATTACGGACATAGAGGAAAGCAGAACAGCAAACGGCACGGATTTGGGGTTTAAAAGTCAGTTGGGTGTCAACCTAGACACTAAGGTTTCATACTGGCTCAGTGAGGTGGAGTGCATCCATGAATAGTGATGCTGTCAGCATCTGAGCTGATGGGAGCCAAGCTGGAGAGCCATGGTCTTGTTGAGATTAAGCTATAGGAAATTGGCTCTCCTCCAGGACTTGATGTCTGACAGACAATCTGTCAAGGTGGCAGTGGTCCTGGAGTCAAGGGTGGAGGCAGAGAGATAGTTGGGTACCATCCACATACATGTGAAAGTTAACTCCACAACTCGATTATGAATTACATCATCTCTAAGTGGTTCCACAACAAAAACAAAATTACATTTGTATAGCGCCTTTCGATTCCATTCAGTGACTTTGCAGTGCAAAGAAAAATAAAACTGGTAAAGTCAAAATAAAACAAAAGACCTACTTGTCGCAGTCCAATTTTCTTATTGTCCCACATTTGTTTGAAGTTCCAGAAGAAAGGCTGGTCACATTTTTGACAGGAGTCGCTATCTAACCACTCTGGAGTCTGGAAGGAGAAAGAAAGGCAATGTCACATCATAATTTTTTTGTCTCTCTGGGACCTGGGTTTGAATGTTGTCACTGTTTGGCTAATGTATTTACTCAATGGATGATGAAGATCTAAAATAAAGGCATTAAGGTCATTTCAACACACCTGCACACGACTGCCCTCAAATTAAACACAACTAACATTAATTTGCCCTTCAAAGAGAACACCAGTGAAGTCAGGCTGATGCTATAACAGACCAGTCTGCTAACTCACATTGAACAACGCAGGACTCCCCTCGTACTGCATTGCTGGTCTAAGAGCTCAAGTCACAACCTTCGGACTCAAAAGTGAGGCTTTTTACACACTGAGTCATGCTAGCACCAAAGATTGTAGATTCAAATGTATTGAGCTACCTAATCCCAGTTCAAACAGTAGTTGGGGTGTTGCAGTGCTCGTGTCAGGGAGAGAAGAATTATCCAAGGTTCGCTTTCCCAAATGCTATCAAGAAACCTCAGCCAGAAGCTGTGTATTGGACATCAGTTCAGGATAAGATCAGGCTCAGCTGTGATGCCTCCCAGTTGAATTGCATGCAAGAACTCAAACCAAGACAACAGGATTACATTTGTAGAGCGCCTTTCACGTCGGGAGGACGTCCCAGGGCACTGGACAGTGTACAGCATTTCAGATCCGAGCTGGGGGTCAGGGAGGGAGAAGGGAGAGGAAGGGGGGTGACCAATGGCATGGTCGAAGAGGAGGGTTTTGAGGGACTTGAAGGAGGCGGTGAAGCGGAGTGATTGGGGGATGGAATTCCAGAGATTGGGGGCAGAGTGGCTGAAGGTTCTCCCGCCAATGGTGGGGCGGGTGGGTCGGGGGACGTGCAGCAGGCTGGAGCTGGCTGAGCGGAGGGAGCGGGTGGGTTGGTAGGGGGTTAGAAGGTTGCAGAATTAGGGTGGGGCGAGGCCATAGAGGGCTTTGTAGGTGAGAATCAGGATCTTGAATTGGATCCTCTTGAACTGAAGGATAGGGATAGTCAGTCGAGAAAGGGAGTTGTGGAGTTTGGTGCGAGAGAGGACACAGACTGCAGGGTACTGGATTATCTGCAGCCTGTGGACGGAGGAGTTGGGAAGGCCAACACGCAGGGCATTTTCATAGTCGAGCCTGGAGGTGATGGAGGCACGAACAAGAGTTTCAGCGGCCTGAGGAGTGAGGTAGTGGCAGAGTCGGGCAATGTTACGGAGGTGAGGGAAGACAGAGCGGGTCATGGTTTGGATGTGGGGAAGACAGTTGAGGGTCGAACAAGACACCGAGGTTCCTGACTGGCTTGGTAAATTGTAGTGTGCAACCATGGAGGTTGATGTTGCCAGGTGCAGAGGCGCTGGCGCGAGCCAATCAGTAGGGCCTCAGTCTTGTTCACATTCAACTGTAAGAAATTTGCCCTCATCCAGGACTTGATGTCCAACAGGCAGTCTGTCAGGACAGTAGTGGTCCTGGAGTTGAGGGTGGAGGCAGATAGATACAGTTGGGTGTCATCCACATACATATGGAAGACACACACATGAATGGCCGCTTAAATGAAGCACCAGACAGTGCCAGAAACTGTTAAACCTCAACAGAATAAAAAAAACGATTATATACAAAACCATACAACCAGTCTTTACTTGATACATAAGCATCTTCTGTAGAGCAAACAAAATGAGCTGTTGTTATCAAAGCATAAATAATGAGTTCTGAAGAGGCATGTTAACATGGTGTGACAGAAAGAGGATGCAACATTACAAAATGCTGGGGAGGGGAGATATTAAAATATTACTTTGAGAAGGAAATCATATTGAAGTAATTTTACTGTTAGAAGAAAAACAGCACGCCACCCTCTAACCCATTAAATACCATAATGTGACATGAACAATCTTTGCTTCTGCACTATGCTCGATTTACTATGGTGAAAGGTTTAGATACAAATGGGCACAAGTTAAATTAAGAGTAACAAAGAGAATGTGTTTTTCTTTATATAAACCCAAAAAGCAACAAATTTGTGAAGCAAGTTCTCAGAGAAGACCATTGATGAAAGTGGTGTCAATGGGTTTACAGGGGTACAATGTGCCTTTCAGGCTAGAAGGGTTGAGGGTTATATGGAAAGGCAAATGGGTGGAGTTTCACGAACCAAAAGGGGGACATGGTTGATTAGTCTAATAACTTCTACCTGTTTCTAAAAATTCTATGTTTTATGTAAACACTGAGATGTCCTACCATCGTGAAGGGTGCTATATAATTATTGTGTATAATATTTTTGATAATAGAACCACACTTTGGCCCTGGTGCTACCAGATCTGGATTGAAGACTGCTCATTCTGAACCATGTTACATAAGTGGCTAAAGGTACTGGAGTGTTAAGGGTTTGATACAAGATATGTGAAACACCCAGCAAAAAAATGGTGTAGCACTGGCTTCAGAATCTAAAGTACATTTCCTATCTTGCACTATTTCTACAATTCAAGATGGAGGTAAGTAGAATTTGCACTTTGAAGTATTGAATTAAATTGTACTTATTACTTGCAAGTGTTTATATTTTCTAAAGCTGAATGGAATTGTATGCTGACCTCTTGCCTCTTTACATCCATGTTCCACACAACAATCCCACCATCAGCACCGCACGATATCAGCTGCCGAGTGTGAGGAGCATAGCAAAGGGACTGAACTTTGTCACTGCATGACAGAAACAAAACAAAACATTAGCTAAAGCTGCACAGTTACAATCGTGCTCTGGTAGGAAAACAAAACTCAATACATGCAGATGAAAACAGAAGTGAAATACTCACTTGTGACCTTGTAATTCGATGGCAGTGCCCTTTCTTCCTCCTATATCCCACATAATAATGGAATGATCAGAGCTTCCTGAGAAGAGTGACCGCTGCCATGGGTCCCAGCAGAGGGCAGTAATACTGCCTGAAATACACATTTAAGAATTTGCACAATCCATCCTATTATCAGCTGATTTCTCTTCCAAATACAGGAAACAGTCTTATAGCAGGCAATAAATCAATTTTCTTAATGCAGAATACAGCATTTCAACAGAAGCACAATCAGCTGACAATGAGTTGACCCGCCCTGAAGTTATAGCAGTTTGGATATGTATGGATCACTATGCTGTTATGAAGGAGAGGTGCCCTAATAATCTAGTAGTGATTCATTTCATCTTGTTCCACTGATAAGAGAGTGCAATACGTTCTTGAATGTTAAAGGTTAGCCACACCTATGGTACACTGCAGTAAAACTTGTGACTTATTACAGAATTAAAATGTTCTGCCCCTTGAACCTTGGAAATGTTGGCCACATCTACACTTGGCATTCCTTCTGCTTTAATTGGCAGTATAATCAGAACAAGGAATTCAATTTAATTGTATTGATACCGACACAAACAGGCTCTTATCCATCTCTAATCTAGTATTTTTCTAGTTTTTATTTAATTAAACATTAAGCTATTAAAAACAAAGCAGAATTTCTACACAAGGCTTTGTTACAAACCAATAACCTAATCAAGGAGTTCTCATGACACAAACATTGAGAGAAAACCTGAACAGAATTGTCATCTTATAACTAGTTTAATAAAACATAATGATTGATGAATTAAGGTTTAATCAACCGCACCTCAAGTTTGTCAGAAAGTGTTCCATGAGCACTCAGCATCATCATACACTTTGAACAGCGAAAAACACAGCGTTACAATTAGATTCTTGCCAAATTTATATTGCCACAACATTAAAGCATATTGGTGGAAGTGCTTTTCCTACATTAAGATGCTAATGTTAATTTCTAACCATAATGTGAACCAGAGGTCAGAATGCACCAGAAAAGCATTCCCTGATATTCATTACGTAGACTCTATACAGCTTGAATCGGATATGGATGCCTCATTCAGTTTGAGCCAATCCCACAACTGTGAGAGGCATCAGTGATCAGTTATCGTTGTTGCAGTTACAAACAGGATATCCTGCTGCTAGATATTTATCAAGATATAATCCAAAATCAATTTTAAAAATTTCAATTATTAAATACACACTAATAACTGGAAACATATTGCAGCTACTTTGGGTAGGGAAACATCAAGAAATATGTTTTGACCAATTTTAAATGCACCAGATACGGCAAAAATCGCAAAACATGAACTTTGTAACTAGATAGCTTTAATCAGCTTACCAGTGTGTCCTCTGAATGTCGTAACCACAGAACAATTGTCTTGTTCAAGCCTGAGAATGGTCACCTGTCCAGAACAATCCCCCACAAAAACATGTCGGGTTTCTACATCAAATCTGAGATCAGCAATTATGGAAAAGAACAGGGGAGAAAAAAACAGCCTTCACTTCAGTTTGTCAAGATGTTTTGTAACTAGGTGAAACTATTTCAAGGTGAGCTTGTACACAGACATCTATTCGTAAAATGGGCCCCCTCTATGCCCATCTCGTCATCTTTCACCGATAATAATCCTCAGGATCGATACACCTTATCACATCAAAATGTCTCAAAGTGCTTGAGGATTTACTGTATAGTGATTTTATATTGGTAGACAAACATCTGTTTCCGCGAATCTTTGCCTCTCTCACAAACTTTTTCACACTTGCTCTTTTCCATGTCCCTCTTCCCTCATAATCTCACTCTTGACACTTTCAGTCAGTTATACCCTACACTTGTTTATTCCCTGCATCTTCATTGTGACACCCTCATTTACTTCCCACGAGCTCACTTATTCCCCTTCTCTTTGTTCACACACACATTCCCTCTCAGTTTGCACATAGAAGCTCATAGAGTTGGAGCAGCTGTGAGTTAAAAAAGTGTGCAGGAGCAACTCATCTCATGGTGCAAGTGCTTGTAACAGGTGGGTGGTCATGGTGAGTAAGTTAACAGCATAGAAGATGAAGGACTATTTCATATTCGCAGATATATCAGGAACAAAGTCATGAGATGTCTCAAAGCAAGCAGTGAACAGGTCACTAAATGGCTGAGACAGACCAAGCAATTGAGGTTTCAGTAAGGGACTGCCCATGGAGAGTAATGCAATTGTATTTTTCAGGCTGCAGTGTTAATGTAGGTCCTTAAGAAATTGTTTAAAAGATGGACACCACACATCACTGCGTGCAAGTGAATATTTCTGTGACTTCAAGGTTACAGTGGGATATAATTGGGTGTTTTGGGCATTCAGCAAAAGTGAGATTTGCCAGGAGTTTTTTTTATTTTTTTTAAATTAACATGAATTTATCAGTATTTTTCTTTAAAAAGTCCAGGATAGAATTTCTCTGATGGGTCCAAGTCCTTACAAAATACGTCATGGTTATGTCAATTGTAGTTTTTGATCCTACTTTTGCCCATGGAAGGAGGGTCAATCTGGAAAATGGGTATGGCCTCTACTAAAATTATACAGAGATAAGCGATTAGGATACTGCAGACATGAAGCCCAAGCAATAGTTTTGTAGCCGCCCAACCTTCGACCACTCTCTGCACAGTGCCAAGTGAAGTACTTGTCCTGCCCTGTGCTAAGCACCCACTCCATCTCCAAGACAAAGAACACCAACGTCACTCGGTTTTGATGAGCTGCTAAAAAGAACAACTCGGATTAGTTGATGAAATTGTGATTAAATGTAGTAATAATAATAATCCTTGCATTTGATATCGCGTTTTTCACATCTTCTAGACGTTTCAAAGCACTTCACAGAATATACTGTAAAGTTAATTACTGTGTATTTGTGGGCGAAACTGGGCACAATAGTGTCCCATAAACAGTCGTAGATTGAGTGACCAAATTCTTACTTTTTTTTAAGGATTATTATCCCCAGAAAAGCAATCAATTAACAACCGGGTTCCTACTTACTGCTAGGTAAACAGGTGTGTGGAGTAAGGAAACTTGCCCAACTTTTCGCCTTGCCTGGGAATCGAACCCAGGTTTCTTGCCTGCGAGGCGAATACTCTAATCACTGAGCTACAGGACTCCAGTACAGGTAAATGTACATAAATTGTTATAACAGTGGCACCAGCACTTAAATCCTTACCGAGGTAGCTCTTTGCAGAAGCCATTTTGTTATAGTCTTCTGACAAAATAAACTCCTGATGAAAGAAATAGGATTGACCACATTAGAACCTTCTTGCCTGTTACTTTAGAACACAGCTGAAACCAGATTTTAAAAAAATACAAATTGTGAAATATTAAAAATGAGACACCAAACAATTACAAGTTACCATGAGGAAGTGCTTTACCTTAAATTGCCTTTACCTTAAATTGCAGACTCAGTCAAGAAGGGAGTTTAATTTGGAACTGAAACTAACCTTGCGTCTACCATGCTAGAATTTGTCAACCAACACACCCAAAATTAGTTAACTTTCCACCCACCCGCCCTCCCAACCACAACTTACTTTTAGTTGTTCACCTCAGTTTCTTCAGCGTCTAGCCCTTTTTGAAAAGTTAGGAATTATAGCAGTGGGGTACCACAAGATGCAAAGTAAACTACAAAGACTCATCCATCAATTTAACTGAGGGAGACAGAAGACTTCGCACCCACAAAAATGCTGCAACAAAAGAACGATTGAAGTGCCATGGGAATTAGTCAAACTGGAAAGGCAGCCACTCTTGGAAGATTTTGAAGCATAAACCAAGCAATATACTAAAATGAATGGGATTTGTTCAGTTACAGAACTTACATTCATAGAACATCTCAATAGAAATCATTTAAGGAAAGTTAACAGATCGTGTACTATAACTGCATTTTACAGAAAGTAACATTTATTGATTTACCAGAACGAAAGATTAAGTGACTTACAGATATGGTTTATCGAGTTTTATCATTGAACACTCACTAAGGAATAAAATAATTATTGCAGTTGTGACATTGAACTCCAAGTGTCAAACATGAGTGGGGGGTGGGGAGGAGGAATTAGTTTGGCCACTCCACAGTGAGTTTTCTTAAGATGTCCGCTTTCCCTCCCGAGAGATGAATTCTTAACTGCATGAACAACTGGGCAAGAATTTTGGCTTCTGAAAACCCTGGACATGCCAAACAGCACATACGTGCAACACTGCCATAACTCATCACATCTTTCATTTATCTAAACTGTAACAATTTTAGATAATAACTTCCTCTAACTCAGTTAAGTACTCACTGAGACTGTACCGTTGTCCAATCCAACAGAGAGCCTCCTTGTTTCTGGATTGAAAGACATGCATGAACATGGAGCTGCAAAAAGAAAGGCGGAAAGTCTAAATTCAATCAAACGCACTGAATTAACCACAATTTCAGTAGTTTACTAAATTTGAACTTACACAAGCTTGTAAATCCAATTAATACTGCGCTAGTTTAAAAGCAAACTGGACAAGGTAAATGAAATGATACACTTGGGTTGATAATAATAATCCTTGCATTTGATGTAGCACTTTTTTATGTCTTCTAGACGTCCCAAAACGCTTCACAGAAGACTGTAAAGTGAATTGACTGTATATTTGTGGGCAAAACGCGGCAGCCAATTGCGCACAGCAATGTCCTACAAACAGTCGTGGATTGAAGTGACCAATTTTATTATTGTTTTTTTGGAAGGATTATCATCAGGCGTGTGGAGTAAGGAAACTTGCCGTAGATGCTGCCTGACCTACTGAGTGTTCCCGGCGAATTCTGTTTTTGTTTCAGATTTCCAGTATTTTGCGTTTTCTTTGACTGGGTTGTCTAGACTAAATCATTCTCCAGTTGCCATTAGAATCTTTTTTGTGCATCCAAAAGCTACCATTCCTATGTATTCACACAATGACAGCACTGAATACTGCTCAACTAATAATCTTCCACTGATGGACTTAAGCAATGACAAGAGAGGCTGTATTACTTTTGTAGCAAAAGATCTCATATTCCTCACCCTAGGAACTTAACACTTGAGAGCAAACATTTCTTACAACATGTGACTGTTAATCCTAAAATCTATTAAAAACTACATTAAATTATATTGAAAAAAACCTGATGTCAGGTTTCTCCACGCTCAAAATAAATTTGTGTGAAGTAATTTGAGAACACTGCACCAGTGTTACTATGGAGAGTAATCTACTTTGTTGTACTCGGGGATATTATTTATCTTTAATATTTTTCTGGATTTGGCAAGAGGGGTACGATATTTCAGATTAAAATCCATTTCTTAAGTCAAATGGTGGCAGTATTATGTTTTTAGAAGTGAGAAACAGAATGTAAAGTACATCCATCAACTATGTGAAACACCTATCAGAAGTTGCAGAATGGTGAGATGGACAGTTTCTTCACATATTATTACAAATACAGCAATAAAACAAACTCAATATTACAAATACAGCAATTTGTTTTTTAAATACCTTCAAAATAAATAAAAATAATTTGGTCACTCAATCCGCAACTGTTTGTGGGACACTGCTGTGCTCAATTGGCTGCTGCATTTCACCCACAAAATACAATCAATTCACTTTACAGTATATTCTGTGAAGCGCTTTGAGACGTCGCGAAGACATAAGGCACTATATCAAATGAAAGGATTATAACTCTAAACAGCATGCGAGAAATAAAGATACCAGATAATTCATCTTCAGCAAATTAATCAGCTCAGATTTATTGAGTCAGTCACGTACATTGCACGTTTAAATGTTTAATTCTTATGCTGTCCCCTCTTACTGAAAATATTGTAGCAGACAGTGTAACATCAAAGATTATTATAGTTAATCATAGCTCAACAGGAATAATGAAATACTTCATCAGGAAATTCTTGTCAATTTTTAACTTCTTTGCAATATCTTCTAGCACAGAAATTTCGCAGATCTGGAAATATCACATCTTTACAATAATGTTCTTAGATTGCAGTGAATGCTGAAAACCAATTAACGAACTGCTTTCCTCCTTCAACATGCACAACATTAGCAAAATTATTTCAGAAGGAAGAACCTTGTCCCTTTTCACATCCTCCAAATTGTCCTATATCCCAGGGATGCTGAAGCTTACTGTCATATCCACAACATATTGCTGAGCAAAATTCAGTTTAGAATAATAATCCTTGCATTCGATATAGTGCCTTATCACGTCTTCTAGATGTCTCAAAGTGCTTCACAGAATACACTGCAAAGTGAATGGACTGTATGTTTTGTGGGCGAAACGCAGCAGCCAATTGCGCACAGCAGTCTCACAAACAGTCGTGGATTGAGTGACCAAATTATTGTATTATTTATATTTTTGGTGGGATTATTACCCCCAGAAAAACAATCCGTCAATCAACTAACAACCAGGTTCGTATTTACTACTAGGTAAACAGAGGCATATCGAGTAAGGAAACATGCCCAATGTTTCGCCCTACCGGGCATCAAACCCAGATCCTCTCACTTGCAAAGCAAGCGCTCTAACCACTAACCTATAGGATAGTTATACCATAAAGCAATGATTTAATCTGGAAATTTGCTGATCTGGTGCTCACAGTGGTATATTTATCCATGCATTAATATTGCAAATGCACATTGTCAAGGCTCATACATAAATAATAATTACTTAGGCAATGTACTGGAAGGTTCCAGGCATCTTTATTCTAATAAAAAGCCACACATCTTCAGGAGAAACTTAGCAAAACATACNAAAAAAAATACTGCCTGCAGGTGGACAACGCATTGCTTTAATAACAACTCTATACTCACTATACTCACCTCATTGCTAAACAGTTAAGTCAGCATTTAACACTCCCATACCACTGAATGTTATTTTAGAGGAATCTTTGTGACTATTCAAATGCGTAACACAAAGGTTAAAACTTAATTTTAAATTAATTTTCATTGTGGACTTACAAAGTGCTTTTGCTCACAAATTGGTCAAAGTTCGCAAATTAACTTTTGTTGCACACAATGTCAGAAGCTACATTTTCACAACTGTAGTAAAATATCAGCGCCAGCTTTCAATAGAAAACACACTTACCTGCCATTGAATGATAAACACTCGGCCAGTACTGACCACTGTCTCTCTTCATCCAAACACGAATTGTTCTGGGATAAAACAGAGAAAATATATAACTTTGGCCTTCCTAGCATTTTAATTCAAGTTACGTTTCTTTTGAGAGGTTGCGAAATTGCTGCATTATTCTGAAATTTCTCCAAATATTTATTTACAAAGGACCTTCTGGAAACTATAGTCATTGGTAAAGCATGAAATGTGAGTGACTGGAATCTGAACTTGGGTTTTGCTATGGTCACTCAACTGCACCGACATCACAGGTCATCACCTGCACTTGCTTTAATCTTTCATCAGGATAACATGCCCCAAACAGATGTATTTATGCACAAATTACAACTGTGCTGCTGAGTGTCTGGTACCAAAATATTACTGTGGCTTTATTAAAGCAGTTTAAAAAATTATAGAACAAGCCAGATTTATCCTAATACTAACTGCTCCACATCACATTAAAATCAAGCAGCTTGGTGCATGGGTAAATTACCTACAATGTTGGCAACAAGAGCAACTTGGATTTATATAGTGCCCTCCACGCCGGACGGTGTCTCAGAGCGCTTCACAGTAACAGATCCCGGGGCCGAGCCAGGGGGAGGGGGGAGAAGGTGACCAAAGGCGCAGTCGAAAAGAAAGGTCTTTAGCAGAGACCTGAAAATAGGAAGAGAGGGGGCGAGGAGAAGGGAGTGAGGAAGGGAGTTCCACAGCCTTGGGGCATAGTGGCTGAAGGCACGGCCGCCAAGGGTGGAGCGGAGGACTCGGGGGATGAGGAGGAGGCCAGACCCGGAGGAACAAAGGCAATGGGCACTGTTTTGAGGAGAGAGGAGGTCAGAGAGGGAGGGGGGTGCGGAGGAGTGGAGGGATTTGAAGACAAGGGTGAGGATCTTGAAATCGATCCTCTCTGTGACAGGGAGCCAGTGCAGTCTGGCAAGGACTGGGGTGATCGGGGAACAGAGTTTGGTGCGGGTGAGAATGCGGGCGGCAGAGTTTTGAATAATCTGGATTTTATGGATGGTAGTGGAGGGGAGGCCGGTGAGGAGGGCGTTTGAATAGTCCAGCCGAGAGGTGATAAAGGCATGGACCAGGGTTTCAGCGGCTTTCGGAGAGAGGTACTAGCGGAGACGGGTGATGAGTTGGAAGAAAGCAGTGCTGGTGAGGGACCGGATGTGGGGTAGGAAGGATAATTGGGGATTATCCAATTAATAAAAATTAATAAAGATCCCAGCTTGCCGATGCTAGGATTAAGAGATACCACAGGTAAGCACTGGGCTAGATTTGGTTGAAGTGGATGTTTACTAATCTTTCTGCCTTCAAGAGCACTTATTGCAAAACGCAAAATACTGCAGATGCTGGAAATCTGAGAACAAAAACAGAAGTCGCTGGGAAAACTCAGCAGGTCAGGCAGCATCTATGGAGAAAAGAAAATGAGTCAACGTTTCGGGTCCATGACCCTACGCCAGTTCTGACAAAGGGTCGTGGCCTGAACGTTGACTCAATTTCCTTTCTCCATAGATGCTGCCTGACCTGCTGAGTGCTCCCACGACTTCTGTTTTTGTAATTTTAACTTCGCCCTGAGTAAACTGTGTTAAGGTTAGCATTTTCAGAAACGCTGCGGGACAAATAAAACTGGTAATATCCAAGGATGTAAATAATTAAAGCTTGTTATAATTTGTCTGATTTTCTTTTTGATTATAGATATACTCTTTACACTGCAAGAATGAATAAAACTCATTGACACAAGTAAACAATGTTACAGTTTTATCCTTTGAACACTGCCTAAAAAGTGCAAATCTGCAGTTAGATGATAATCTTCTCCATGTGATCTAAGAAAATAACTCATTTCTTTCTTGCACGATAGAGAAACCAGAAATATAAGAACTGACAAACCATGCACGTCTGTAGTCAGCTGTACTCACTGAGGCTTGTCTAAGCAAACTGAAAACAAGCTGTAAAGTAGCCATGATCAAAACACTTGATTCCTTATACTGGACATAATGGTTACACTTTTCAAAAAAAAATCTGATCTGATGGGCCTCAATTGATGGAAATTCCTCAACACATTCGGTGGAAAGGGGAGAGGCTGACCACGGGCTTTCCAACAACACAGTGACTGGCTTCTAAAATTGTAAGTTAACAAACATTTACAAAAGACTGAAACCCTGGCAACTCAATCACTTTCTACTATATTTTTAGAAAACAAAACTTGCAAAATAACAATTCCACAATGTTGCTGGTTTGATTTGTTTTAACCCAAAGATTAGAAAGTCACAAAACTGTATTTTGTGGAACAAACTAATCAGGAGAACATAATGAAAGAAAATCAACTAGCGCAATTAACATACAAAGGAGAGGGTTGTGTCCTGTTGAATGATACATTTGTCACAACCAGGTTAAAGTTATGNTTTTTTCTCCGTTGTCCCCCTCCTTTACTCATAAAGTTGTACGACTCCTTTAATTTCTACTGATTCCAAGAGTACCAGGCACTCTCTGGTATCATACCCAAGTGGTCATTATTCAGGTCGGAACATCAACTTTGAGCGTTGTGGTTGCTTAGCCATTGAGGCTGACATATTTGAACTTTCTAGATGGATTTTCAAGAATCCTGGCTTCCTAACCAGGGACACCATAGTTTGCATGATGGAAAAGATAGTCACGGCCACTGTAATGAGCAACGTGTGCAATTACAGCCAAAATTCAAGGAGTTGCGCTTCAGTCTATTGGAAACCCAACAAGTACAATTTATACAGTGCCTTTCATGTGAGGATGTCTCAAAGCACTTCGCAGAGCTGACTGGGAGCCTAAGTTGGGGACCTGAGGAAAGTGGGGCCAGGGGAGGTGAGGGAATAGATGACAAAAAGAAGTTTCAGAAGCAAGCTTGATTTGACCCTCCTACTAGAGCTATTGGGCCGAGATTCAAGGTTAATTACACTCAGAAACATCCATGTTTAAGGGCAGAAGATTTGTTTCTGAAATCCAAGTTAGGAAGGTCACAAACCAGCCAGTGTTTGTGCTCCAAATCACTACCAAACATACCTGCTGTGGTATGCAAATGCTAAATTACTAAACAGGGTTACTTGTTATTGTTGGTTACATTGCTTCAACAATTAATGCAACTTTCAACAGTAATATGATTGGTCAGGTTTGTCAGTGACAATTCCAGAGAACCCTCTGGAAGTTTTAGGATTAAATTTTCCGGCTTTCTTTCAGCTACGGTTAAAGTTTTTAAATGTCTGACTGTTCCTTCAATGCTCCTTATGGTTACCTCATCCATATCCTCAGATAAAATTGGTCATTCACTTCATGGCTGTTGGTAGGACCTTGCTATGTGCAAATTGGCTGCCGCATTCGCCCACAAATATATAGTCAATTCACTTTACAGTGTTCTCTGTGAAGCGCTTTGGGACGTCCTCCCGACATGAAAAGTGCTATATCAAATGCAAGGATTATTATTATTATAGTATAATATTATTATAGACATTTTGCAGTAAATCCTGTGAAAAACTTTGAGACATCCACAAGACTTGAAAGCTGCCATATCAAATATAATAATTATTATCTCGGGCACCACTGATCTGGAGTGCTGCAGCGTAGAGACTTTGATTCTTTAGTTTATTTAGAAGTCAGGAAAGGTAATTTTGGAGAGATTTAGAAATCATTTTTTATTGCTTCTGGGAGTGTAGGAGGCAGAGGTAGTTGAGAATGTTTGGTCTAGTAGTTAGAGCTGTGGGTATAGTGTTTTCACTGGTTGCTGAATGCAATGTTAGATCTCTGTAACGATATTACTCACCCAGGTGAAGTCTGACCAAAGACTATATTCCATCAGCAGACATTAATCTGCTTCAACAGACCAACCTCTCAGTTTAAGCAGCTTCAAAACTGTGGTGGGAAGGGGAACAAACAGTTCGCCAATCCTCCATTCTAATTTAACGCAATATGAAGGGTTTGAAACGGAAGGTCACATTCCAATACTAAAGTTTAGTCAATGATTTCTGAATCTAATAAAGAATGACAATCCCGTAAGGTAGATCAAGACTGCTCACCGAGGATAGGGGTTTGATCACCTACACTGCCGAACTTCAAGCCTTAGTGGTAATGTTGTGGGGAGGCCATTACAGAACTGCTTTGTTGTTACCACTGTCCCACTGGAGTGGTGAGGCAGTATTATTTAATGTGCATACTTGGATCAGTCAATTCGCCAGGAGAAGAACATTTTATGGTTTGCTGAGAATTTAAACAGCAGTAAAATGTCATACACATTTGCAGGTTTTTTGCATTAATGGAAACCAGCTTTAACTGTTTGTGGGACATTGCTGTGCGCAATTGGCTGCCGCGTTCGCCCACAAATATACAGTCAATTCACTTTACAGTGTGTTCTGTGAAGCGCTTTGGGACGTCCTCCTGACGTGAAAAGCGCTATATCAAATGCAAGGATTATTATTATTATTATTATTATTATTAACTTAACCAATGGCTTCATTTGTAAGTCACATTGTGGTAGGAAACTGAGCTCTACAGGTCAGGAAGCTTCCAGGCTCAAAGCCCAGCCAAATTCATCATAGCTTACTGGTTGTAAAAAAAATGGATAATGTTAAAAACTCAAAAAGCAACTCTGTTATAAAAGGTTTCTACGATACAGCTACATCTTTCAGGAACATTAAAATTTGAAGATGTAGAAACTTGTGCCTCATTTCTAACCAAATAACATTTTAAATGTTGTACACAGCAAATTTAAACTAAAGGTAGATGTTTATTGTTTAATTTTTGTAGGTTTCAGGAAAGAGGAAGTAAAATCAGTGAATTTGCATTACATTGCATGAAAGGAAATACTGTTTGTTCACACAGTGGTGTTTCACTGGTCCATCATCATCAGAGGCTCAATACTGAAGTATTCTGTTATAATTATCTTTATTCCAGTTGTAGCATCCTGCAGAACACAATGTCCATTTTGGGTATTCTGTAGCTTAAATTCTCTGGTGTGTTTATTTTGCAGGACGTAACATTAGTCAACCTTCTCAATACAATAACTACTTGGCAGGAAGGAAACAGCAATCAGACAAGCTTTTGTCTATTTTAGTTCAGTTTTACGCAGCAGTAAACATAAATGTTGACTTTGATTAGTGAGGGAAATATTTTTATTCTTAAAAAGAACATATCTAAATAAAAAATGTAGCACTGTATTTTAATAACAACTGAACAGCTTTTCTTAAACCCCAAGCTTTTGGAATGGTCAAGCAAATAAATTGATACCCTTTGTTCTGCATAAACCAAGACTTGGAATTATTTATTTTATATCTTGCAGATTTAAAAGGAGTTGAACTCTACTGCTACATGACAAAGTTACCTTTCTGAAAAGATGGAAAGAAAAATTGCAATAGCTAGATATCACGATTTAGAGTTGGGTAGTTTGATTGGAGTGTTAGTTGTGCACTGCCACCCATGTATCATCTGAGTCCACATCACAGGCAGTATGGGATACCAACTAATATACCTCCACTTCATCTGACATAGAGAGGAGACAATCAACTATACAACAACAACATTACATTTGTATAGTGCCTTTCACATTGGTGGGTTGTCCCAAGGCGCTGGACAGTGTACAGCATTTCAGACCCGAGCTGGGGTCAGGGGGGAGGTATGACATGGTTCAAGAGAAGGGTTTTGAGGTGGGACTTGAAGGAAGCTAAGGAGGGGGTGAGGTGGAGTGATTGGGGGATGGAGTTCCAGAGGTTGGGGGCAGAATGTCTGAAGGCTCTCCCGCCAACGGTGGGGCAGATGGGTCGGGAGACGTGGAGCAGGCCAGAGCCGGCTGAGCGGATGGAGCGGGGAGGTTGGTAGGGAATTAGGAGGTCACAGAGATGGGGCGAGACCATTGAGGGCTTTGTCGGTGAGGACCAGGATTTTGAACTGGATCCTCTGAAGGATAGGGAGCCAATGGAGTCAGGCGAGAATGGGGGAGATGGGGTCACAGAGTTTGGTGCGGGAGAGGACACGGGCTGCAGAGTTCTGGATTATCTGCAGTCTGTGGAGGGAGGAGTTGGGAAGGCCGACAAGCAGGGTATTTGCATAGTCGAGCCTGGATGTGATGAAGGCACAAACAAGAGTTGAAGAACTATAATCAAGTTGAAGGATCAATCTTAACATTGAAAATGAAAATACCATAAAACATGAACAGAAAAATAAGATTAAGCTTATTTCAAGCAGTGCCTTTCTTACAGCTTGGTCATTTGCACTGTTGAAATACCGTTAACCAAAGAGCAAAAAACAAAAAGCTACATCGAGTAGGAAGCAATTCAACCCATTGTATTAATGCCAATATTTACTCCAATGAAACCATCTACCCTAATCCCCACACTTCCCCCATACTCATTAACACTTTCTCCATGTGCACATCTACATCCTTTTTAAATGCCCACAATGAATGTGGGGTCTAATAGCCTTCACCTGCCAATTAATTCTATTCTCTTACAACCTCTGAAAGAATTCCCGTTCACATTCATAATAATCTTAAACTCATTCACTCATCCTCAAGTCACCAACTATCGGAAATAGTTAATCACCCTTTATCTTTTCAAACCCTTCCCACACCCATCATATAATCCTTTAAACAGCAACAATGAAAACTTAAGTGAAAATTCTTCCACAGCCCTTAGAAATGGTTCAGTCAGTGTTTCATGGGAATTGATTTAGAGAGTCCCTGCTGGTTACACTGCATCTCATCAGGTCTCCAGCCCAGACAACCCCATCACTAGCTCTTAGTAATCTAGTTAGCTAGCTCTCCTGACCAGCCACCCCCCTGGCTAGTTAGCCAGCTCTCCTGACCAGCCACCCCCCTGGCTAGTTAGCCAGCCCTCCTGACCAGCCACCCCCCTGGCTAGTTAGCCAGCTCTCCTGACCAGCCACCCCACTGGCTAGTTAGCCAGCTCTCCTGACCAGCCACCACCCCTGGCTAGTTAGCCAGCTCTCCTGACCAGCTAACCCACCTGGCTAGTTAGCCAGCTCTCCTGACCAGCTAACCCACCTGGCTAGTTAGCCAGCTCTCCTGACCAGCCACCCCCCTGGCTAGTTAGCCAGCTCTCCTGACCAGCCACCACCCCTGGCTAGTTAGCCAGCTCTCCTGACCAGCTAACCCACCTGGCTAGTTAGCCAGCTCACCTGACCAGCTAACCCACCTGGCTAGTTAGCCAGCTCTCCTGACCAGCCACCCCCCTGGCTAGTTAGCCAGCTCTCCTGACCAGCCACCCGCCCTGGCTAGTTAGCCAGCTCTCCTGACCAGCCACCCCCCCTGGCTAGTTAGCCAGCTCTCCTGACCAGCCACCCCCCTGGCTAGTTAGTCCCCCTCCCTGGCTAGTTAGCCAGCTCTCCTGACCAGCCACCCTCCCTGGCTAGTTAGCCGGCTCTCCTGACCAGCCACCCCCTCCCCCCTGGCTAGTTAGCCGGCTCTCCTGACCAGCCACCCCACCCCGGCTCCAGGTTAGTTATCCCATCCCCTGGGTCCAGGCTGTGAATCTGAGCCCTGGCCCGTTCGCCACCGACCTGTCCTCGCTGACGCTGATGACACCGTCCTCTTTGGGCACGATGACAGCCATGTTGACCACATCCTGAGAGCCCTCGAGCTTGCTGAGGAGGACGGGTTTGCGGGTGAGCGGCTTGGGGTTGATCTGGGCCGCCATGGGTGCCGCCGGCGGCTGCTGCTGCTCCTCACTCGCGGGCGGCTCAGCTGCTGCGCAGCCGCCAGACTTGAGAAGCCGGAAACCGCCGCCCCGCGTCCGCCCCCGAAAGCCGTCCGGGCTGTGCACCCAGAAAGCGCTTCCGGCAGTGCCGCGCAGCTGCACTGGGTGTTCCGGGGGTAATGAGGGAGGCAGCAATAACATGACGTGTCTCTCTGTCCTTTGGGCTGAACAAAACGTGCAAAACCGGACCCACCCCATAATCTGTACCTTTTTGACCCATTCAGCTTTGCCTCCACGACCTCGCCGGCCTGTGCTATCATCTCTGCCCCTCCCCGCCACCGCCACCTCGGGCCGCTGAAGCCCTTCTCCGCGTTTGACGGGACTTCCCAACGCTTCCTTCCACAAGCTGCAGACCACAACGGCGACGATTTGCATTAACGTAGCGCCCCTCATTGCAGGGTAGCGTCCCTGAGCGCTTGATCGTGGCGGAGCACGGCTCCGAACTCTGCAGCTCATGTCCCCTCCCACGCCAGGCTCCGTGAGCCCAGCTCCACTGGCTCTCCGAACTCCAGGGGATCGCGTTCAAGATCCTCGTCCTGACTTTTAAATCCCGCCACAGTCTTACCCCACCTCTGGGATCTTCTAAAACCCTACGACTCTCCACTGGCCTGCTTCACCTCCCCCGCCCTGCCCACCCCACCAGTGGTGGTTGGGATTTCAGCTTTGCTGCCCCTACTCTCTGGAGCTCCATCGCCTCCTTCAAGATCCGTCTCAAAACCTTCTTCGGTCATCTTCCCACCTCCCTTGGCCCCCATCCCTTCTAAATCCAACGCCCAGGTCGGGTGCAAACCCTCGACTGTCTTGGGACATCGTCCCAATGTGAAAGGTGCAATATAAATGCAATTTATTGTTGTTTTACATTATTATTGTTGGTAGAGTAGATTGAAGGGAGGTTTACTCTGCCCCTGTATGTTGCTTTTGACATAATCTATCCTAATAATTTAAATACAGGTTAAATAAAAATATTGACTACTGTTTTTGTACAACAAAATCAATTTACCAATTTATGCACTTAATAATACCAATCATGAATCATTTATTGATTCTGCACAGTGCAGAAGGACAGGCAGGATACAGTATCACAGGCAGGCTTTAAGCCAATCTGCCCCACTCTCTAAGAATTCCATCCCAGAGTCCCTATGACTCCCTCCCAATTTCAAGGCATGTCTCAAGCCATACCTCTTAGACCATGCTTTTGGTCATCTTTCCCCTTCCTACTTCCTTTGCATCCCACCTGCAGCTCGAGTGCCCATTCAAGATGTGAATGCACTTTGTGATGATAAAACTACAGTCATTTGTATTGTAAAGTACAATAGGACATAATGCAAGTGAAGTCACAATGTGCATAATGGCCACCAGATGGCGAAGACACCCTAATTTTAAAAACATTAGAAATACAATATACTAAAACATTTCATAAAATGCAACAGGTGAATGCTTGATATCTAGCAAAGGTTATATTGAATATGCATTATTCTTGGTAGATATAGATGGTACAGATCAGAAACAGGCCATTTGTCCCATCCAGTCACCTGGTGTTTATTTCCTCCGCACAAATTTGCCTATAGGCCTGACATTTTTATGTCATTTTATATGTCAAAAATGACTGTGGGACACTGCTGTGCGCAATTGGCTGCGGCGTTTCGCCGACACAATATACAGTCAATTCACTTTACAGTATATTCTGTGAAGCGCTTTGAGACATCTGGAAGATGTGAAAAGCGCTACATCAAATGCTAGGATTATTATTATATTATCACCTGATGGTATATGGAAAATAAAGGTCTTAGCTAACAATCCTCCAATTAAATTGATCATTCACCTCTTGATAGTTTGTTGGCCATTGCTGTGCGGCAATTAGCTGCCATATTCACTTACAAGAACACAGTCCTTATACTTAACTGTATTTACTGTGAAGTGCTTTGAGATTTTCAATATGATAAAGTGCTATCTCAAATGCAACCATTATTTTATTTTCCAAATTTTATTTGGGGTACGTTTTTTATTTACAGGTCATCACCCCATTCTTTGATGGTTATCATTTCGATGCGTTTTCTCTTGTGATTCGGGTGGCTAGGAAGCAGCTGCTCTGATATTGCTATTTCTTCTCACTAACCTGAATTACAGTTCCCTCCTAATTCCAAATTTACCCCCTAAATTCGAATTAATGAACTACTCATCTCATTGTTATTTGTGATGAAATCAGATGCCATACTTGCCAACTTTAGTCAATCGCGTTACTCCAATGCAGTGCTGGGGGAACGCTACATTGTTGAAGGTGTTGTCCTTCAGATTAGGCAAATACCAAGATCCTGTCTGCCTGTGCAGAACCTTAAAGATGGCACAACACTATTTGAAAAGAGAAATAAATTTCTACCAACAATCTCACAGATAAAGTTAGTTATTCACCTCATGGCTGTTTGTGAGACAATGGTGTATGGAAATTGGCTGCTGCATTCACTCAAACAAAATACAAAAGCCACAGCCACTACGCTTTACAGAAAATTCTATGAAGAGCTTTGAAATGTTTTGACATAATAGGTCATCAACAACAAAAAACAACCTCATTTATGTAACACCCTTCAGGCGAAGAACATCTCAGAGCATATCGCAGCAATTGGTTTGACACCAAGCTGAAAAAAAGGGAAGTGACTGAATTCACAGTAAAAGAAAGTCTTCAGGTGTGATTTAAAGAGCTATCCAAATCAATCCCAAACCATACTCACTTCGAAATGTGTGACGCACTACGAAATTTGAAGTGCAATAATAATAATCCTTGCATTTGATATGGAGCCTTTTCACATCTTTGAGACGTCTCAAAGCACTTCACAGAATATACTGTAAAGTAAATTGACTGTATATTTTGTGGGCGAAACGCAGCAGCCAATTGCGCCCAGCAGTGTCTCACAACAATTGTGAATCGAAGTAACCAATTTTTTTATTTTTTTTAAAAAGAATTATTACCCCCTGGAAAACCGATCCGCCAAACGACCAACAACCAGGTTCCTACTTACTGCTGGAAAATAAAAGCATGTGGAGTAAGGAAACTTGTCCAACATTTTGTCCTGCTGGGAATTGAACCCAGGTCACTTGCTTGCGAGGTGAGTGCTCTAACCACTGAGCTACAGGACTCCAAGATAGGCAAAGAGTGGGCAAAACAGAGGGATTGAGGCAGGGAGCTTTGGGGCATTGTGGCTGAATGCAAATGCAAGCATTATTAATATCTCTATTGGCACTGAACAACTCCAGTTTGTTGATTATGGAATATGGAATCACAGAATTATACAGCAAAGAAGGCCATTCAGCCCATCGTGTTTGTGCTGGTTCTTTGAAAGAACTATTCAAATCAATCCCTTGTTCTAAGCAAACCAAACTGACCTATTATTCTGTACTGCACTGTCATCACTCCTTTCCTTAAAAAAAACCATACCTGGACACATCCCTGCTCTCAAATCACTGCCCCGTCTGCAACATCACTTTCCTTTCCAAGGTCCTGGAACAAGTCATTGCTACCCAGCTTCGCTCCTTGTTCTCCCGCCACTCCCTTCATAAACCTCTCCAATTGGGTTTCCGTGCCTCCCACAACAGAAAGAGCTTTGGTCGAAGTGACAAATTAGATTTTGTCCATCTGCGACTAGGGCTACCTCTGCCTCCTTGTCCTCCTTGACCTCTCTGCTACCTTTGATAACGTTAATCACTATATCCTCCTCCACCGTCTCGCATCTCAACCTTCATGGTTCTGTCCTTGAATGGTTTAGATCCCACCTCTCACACCGTCTCCACTTCATCTCCACAAACTGTTTCTCCTCTAGCCCCCGGACCATCTTGTGCGGCGTTCCTCAGAGCTCTGTCCTTGGTCCCCCTCCTCAACATCTATACACTCCCTCTTGGTGACATCATCCGCAGACATGAGGTCAACTTCCAAATGTATTCGGATGATACCTAACTGCTATCTCTCTGCCTCCACCCTCGACTCCAGGACCACTGCTGTCTGAGAGAATATCAGTCAGACATCAAGTCCTGGATGAGAGCTAACTTTTACAGTTGAATGTCAACAAGACCAAGGCCCTCCTGATTGGCTCCCCTCAGCGCCTCCACACCTCAGGCACTGACAGTATCACCATCCTAAGATGCACATTCCACCTCACTGAGCCAGTCCGGAACTTGGCGTCTTGTTTGACCCTCAACTATCCTTTCTACCCCACATTCATGCCATAACCCTCTCGGCCTTCCCCCACCTCTGCAACATTGCCGGCTCTGTCACTGTCTCACATTGCAGGCCGCTGAGAGCCTCATTAGACACATTCACAACATCCAGGCTTGACTATGCAAACTCTCTGTTTGTCAGCCTCCCCAACCCCTCTCCTCCCTCATCTAGAACTCTGCAGCCCGTGTCCTCTTCCGCACCAGGCTCTGCGACCCCATCACCCCCATCCTTGCCCGACTCCACTGGCTTCCCATCACACAGAGGGAATACCTTGGTCCTCACCTTCAAAGCCCTCAATGGCCTTGCTCCCCCTACCTCTGCGGCCTGCTAACCCCCTACCAACATGCCCACCCCCTCCGCTCAGCGGGCTCCGGCCTGCTTCATGTCCCCCACCTCGCCCGAGCTGGATCTTTGAAAGAGCCGTTGGCGGGCAGGCCTTCAGCCACTCTGCCCCCACCCTCTAGAACTCCATCCCACAGTCCCTCCGCCTTGCCCCCTATCTTGCCTCCTTCAAAACCAGTCTCAAGACCTTCTTCTTCAACCGTGCCTTCGATCACCCTCCTTCTCCACTCTCCTTCCCCACCCTACCCCCCTCCCTGCACCCCTCCCTCCCCACCCTGCCCCCCTCCCTCCCTCCCCACCCTGCACCCCTCCCTCCCCACCCTGCCCCGCACCCTCCCTCCCCCCCTGCCCCCCTCCCTCCCCACCCTGCCCCCCTCCTTCCCCACCCTGCCCCCCACCCTCCCTGATCCCGACACCCAGTTCAGGTCTGAAACACTGTCTGTCCAGCGCCTTGAGACGTCCTCCCGACGTGAAAGGTGCTATACAAATGTCATGTTGTTGTTGTTGCACTGTACTCTTGTCTGGGCTGCAGGAACCTGTCTGTCATTTCACCCTGAGCCTGTGGACACATTTCATCCACTGCGCATGCGTTCCAGTCAGCGCATTCGGATCGCCTTTACGTGGGGGAGGGGCGGAGGGGGAGTGCTGCGCACGCGCAGAGGTACCGCCCCACGTGTTCATTTTTTCTCCGCGTCTGACAGCCCAGACATGCGCACAAGCCGCCACGTCCCCGCTCTCGGAGAGCTGTCACGTTACCGTATGCAAACGAGGTGGCGGGGCCGCGACCAATGGGAGGAAGCGAAGGGCGGGGTCGGGTGACGTCGCCGAGGTAGGTGGAGGAGTTGGGTGAGGGGGGGCGGGGGGGGGTGGAGAGACAAAGTGTGTGAGCGGAGTCAGAGCCACAGTCAGAGCCAGGCAGCGGCCAGGCTACAGCCACCACAGAGCGAGCGAGCGAGGGGCTCCCAACCGCACCCCATAACCACCGCTCGCTCTCCCCCCCCAAAACACACACTCTGCCTCCCTCCCTCTCTCCCCCCCCCCCCTCCCAACCACCCCACCCTCGAGTGTCAGCCGCGGGCTCCCGCACTCCCACTCTGCTTAGTCAGCCAGTGAGTTAAGGAGTGCTCCCCGGGAGCCTGCACCCCCTTTTTTTTTTACTCGTCCCCCCCCTCGCCCTCCCCACACCACCACCACCACCATCTCCTCCCATCGCTCTCGCTCTCCCCAGCGCCACCATCATGCCCATCTTACTGTTCCTGATAGACACGTCCGCCTCCATGAGCCAGCGCAGCCATCTGGGCACCAGCTATCTGGACATAGCCAAAGGCGCGGTTGAGACTTTCATGAAGGTAAAAAGAAAAGACCGGAAAGGGGGTGAATATATATATATATATATATGAAAAAAGAAGGGACGGACAACTGTTGCCCCCTTTCCCCCCCCCCCGTCCCCCCCCTCTCCCTGGCTCAGCCCGCAAAGAGCTGCGCGTTGATTGATTTGCGGGTGGTTGGGGGGGGGTCGGTGGCGGCGGCGGCGGTGGGGAGGGAAGGTTTAAGCTTCTTCAGAACCGGTTCTTAACGTCGCCCGTTGTGCGTGTGTGTGTGTGTGTATGTGTTGTTTTTTTTTATTTTATTTTTTTCTCTCTCTCTTTCTCTCTCTCTCTCTCCCCTCTCTGTTTTAACAGCTGCGAGCCCGCGACCCTGCGAGTCGGGGAGACAGGTACATGCTCGTCACTTTCGACGAGCCGCCGTATGGTATAAAGGTAACCGATTTTCTTTCTCGTTTTCGTTATTTCCCCCCCCCCCCCTCTCCTTTTCTCTCCCCACTCCCCGTCCTCCCTCTCTCCCTCCCTCCTCCCCCCCCCCCCCCCCACCACCTTTTCCTTCCCCTTTTTTTATTTTTTTTTCAAAAAAAATTAAAAATATTGAGAAAACTCCTCGTGGATGTGATCTCTTTTTCCCCCCTCTCTCTCTCTCTCTCTCTCTCTCTCACACTCTCTCTCTCTCTCTCTCACTATCTGTCTATCTCGGTCTCTCTTTCCCCTCCACACACATTCCCTCTGCAGGAGAGGAGGTGGGTGGGTTGGTGGGTTGTGGGGACTTTCTCCGCTCCCGAGTGAGGGGAGGGAGGGAGGGAGGGAGGGAGTGTGTGAGGGAGAAGTAACGCACCTAAACATGGCCGACATTTTCTTGTGCACAGCAGTGGATGATGGGGAAACTAGGACTTGATCGAGAGAGAGAGAGAGAGACACAGACAGACAGACAGACAGACACGAGTGTATTTAACGCCGAAGGGCAAGGACTCGAATCGAACTTCTTCACCAGCCAGAGCTTTTATTATTTTTTAAAAAAAAATCTATAAAAATAGGCAAACTCAGTGTGGTGTAAATGAGCTGATGATCAAGTACACATTTGAACAACTTTTTTTTAAAAAAAACACACACACACACATGTGTCTATACACACACGCACACACACACATATTTGGAGAGCTCTGTGGAGGGAGGTGAGATTGATTTTTTTTTCACAATCTTCCTACAAACTTTTTGCGAAGTTATTTTTCTCCCACGTTCGTTACTCCCTCTATTGCCTACAGCAGTCTTGTGGCAGCTGAGCTCTCATTGATCGACCAGAAATTAGGCGTGTAGGTAGAGGTCCAAGGTGACTCATTTACCTGTTAGATTTGTTTTGCTCGTGTTTACTTGGCTTATTCGCCCCACCTCTTCATGGGTGGGAAATTGCCATGTACTCTTACTGTGACTTTGTGACAGTGTGCCAGACTGAACATGTGCCAGATCATTTACGCAATTTACTTTGCCATTCATTTGCACGATACTGACTTTGCAGTTGAAAGGCAGACGGTGAAACAATTTAATTTAAAGTGCAAGTTTAAAAACCATTGAAGCTGCCCACATAACCTAAATAAACTTATTGTTAGTACTTCTGATGGTTTTATATATAACCACATGATGTGTGGTATTGAGCCATACAGAGTAGGGAGACCAACTGCCAATCCATAAAATGTGCTGAGATCATTTCAGCAGATGATAGTGGCTTTGCAGCAGTGTCAAGGCGGAAGAGAGTGTCGAGCAGTGTCAAATATGGCAATCTGCTTGTGATTGCTATCCAGTAACTATGTTTGCACTGGGTAACATGGTTTTGGCATTGGAGGTTTTATATTATCTGAAACAGTACCCAGCATGAATCCGTTCCAGTGGAAGGGGTATCTGAAGGAATAACTTGAGGCGGAAACTAAGGAGAGTCTTAGTTGGGCTTTTCTTGTGGACTGAGAGCAGTAGATCTCTTGCAGCTAAGATTGACAAAGGCTTTAGAGCAGGCATTGAGTTGGAGATGTTGAATGGCTCGACAAGACTGGGAGGGAGGTGATAGAAGAGAGTTAAAATGTTTTTTTTTAAATGCCCACAGTATTAGCGTTTATAAAGTTTTTGATTTTTGAACTCCTGTTTCAATGACTAACTGCTTAGTAATGTTTCAGTTCAATTTTCAGAAATAAATTTCTTTGTACTTTTTATGATGACACCTTATTAATGACCTCTGGAAACAAACTCCATGTTACCAGAATGAAATGAGAGATTTTCAGAACTTCTGAACAGAGAAAGCATCACCAAAATATTTTATTTTTCAGGCTGGCTGGAAGGAGAACCATGCAACTTTCATGAACGAATTGAAACATCTTCAAGCTGTAGGATTGACAACTCTTGGCCAGTCTTTAAGGACATCCTTTGACTTATTAAATTTAAATAGATTAGTTACTGGAATAGACAACTATGGGCAGGTATGTTCAACACACAAGCAAAAGTTTATAATTCTAGAATATAAAATTATCAACACTACATACACACACACTTACAACTGCAATAAACCCCCCAATATAATGTCTTTCTCCACAATTGGGAATACAGTATATTGCTATTTATCTACACACCAGTTAGCCATTTGGCCATTGATATGGGTGTAGAGCTCCAAGGCAGAAATGGCCATAGGCTGAAAAATACTGGCATAAAAATCCTGTTGTACGTGTGTGCAAAGTTGCCCCAGGGATGCTCTGACCCCAACCACATCATGTTAAGCAACCTCGTGCAACTTCGCACGTGCGCACCAACAGTATTTGCGTACCGGTAAAGAAGGTAAGTCTTTATACTTTTACAGTCTACAGTTTAGGATTAGCAACAGAACTATTGTAGGTAATAAAAAGGGCAATGAGTCGAGTGAAAATGGCAGTTAATACAGTGTGATACTGGCAACTGATGGTATAAATTGTTCCAAATGGATATGTATTTTGCGTTTTGTCCAATTACCAGCACTATCCGCAAAGCATCCAGTCCCATACAGTAAATGTCAATGACATGTGAATCTAATCACAATGTGTACATTTATCTAACATGGAATGCACATTGTTGATGAAGCTTTAGATAGTGAAGCCCTGGTAAGTTTTTGAACTACAGCATTCATGACTTCAAACTTCGTAAATATGTTGGGAGTGTGACCAATTTGGTAATGTTAACAATCTTTTATGTCTTTGACTACTCAAGTGGTCAAACCATAGACTGGTGTTGGTGAACCACAAGTGAACTGCGGTTGGAGCAGGTCAACATTCCATAATCTTAATTGAAGTGAACTTGACTTGCCAGATTTGTGATGGAAACTGGGCCTACTGTATTTGGCAGTCATATTTCTTAACAAATACACTTATGAGTTAGAGTAATAGTTGAAATTCCAAGATGTCACTGCAACCTTTCATTCACATTTTGCACCACATTCTCAGTGCAATCTCGCAGGTTACATATCGTGGACTCGAGATAAAAGAACATGGGCAATTATGGACCTTGTTGATACAATGCTGAGATCAGCCAGTACGGCATTCTTAAATGTGCCTAAGGTGGAACCAGAATTTTTTTTTAACCTTTTGAGGATGACTGGTTTAGCAACTTGCTTCTACTCGTTTACACCTGATGATGGCAGTAATAGCAAGCCTGAGTATGACTACCCACTGAGTTTCTATTTTGAGCCCCTGTGTACTACTGTTTTGCTAAACAGTGTGGCACTAACCTGGTGACGCATGGTTTTAAATGAGAGTAGTTTTGTATTTCATACAAACATTGCATTCTGTGATAATTCCTGCAACGTTGAATATTAATGTACTTCAGTTTTTAAACATTTTAATACATAAACGAATATGGATTGTTACAGCTTAGAAAAGTTAGAGGGTTTATTCCATTTCGACTTAGAATTCAGCTAAGGTCAGGCTTACTTGTTTGAGCAAGCCCTCCCATTAATACCAAATTACTTTCAGGAATCTCAAATCACAATCAGTAAGAGTTTGAATTTTTTTAAGATTTCTTTTATTAAAGCAGGTGATCTTAATGTAGACTCTTCACAAAACACAAACCTCCTATGAAACTAGTAGTACAACTTCCAAGCAGCCAACTTTTTCTTATGTTGAATTACCCTGTTGCCTATTTTTTTGACATACCTTTAAAACAATGTAGGGAAAGAAAATTACAATCTATGAATACATTGCTCATTCTGGTACAGTGTGATATAAATGCTCTCCAAGCTGCCTCACCACAAACTCTTGAAAAGCACGCCTACATCTCCAGATATCTTTTTGATTTGAATGAGACATATTTTTCGGTGAATTAAAGGCAGTAAGATATGAACTCAAGCCACCCGGGGGCTGGATTGAGCTTACTTAGTTCATTTCACATTGAACCATACTGACCAGTATTGAGAAGAAATTAATCCCATCTGTATTGGATTCAGACAAGAGGTGACAGTCGCACTGTGTCCCACTGGTGCTAGAATGAGTTATTTTTATTATTATCTGACTAAAATGATCTCCCTTCGTGTTTCTTCTCTCACCACCCCATGTTTTTCCTGGGTCAAATGTCTTTTGCCATCATTGTTCTCAAGTTGACCATTAGAAGATATGGGTGATTGGTTTGGAAAGATTCCAAACCTATTTCTTTCTCTCCCTTCCCCCCCTCCCTCCCCAAACTCAGGACAGGTACCTGGTTTCCACTTAACACTTCTGACAAACCCTTCTGAGGTCCAGAACTCTTTATGGAGAATTCTAAGCCTTCTACTGTAGTGTATAGAATTCACATTGTATAGTGTGAACTGCAAGTACATCAGTAAACCATTGGTACTCTTGCATATTTAATAATTATTTATTATGCTTGTTTTTGGTGTGGCACCTTATCAAATCAAAAAATCTGAAAGCACTTCAGAGTTTTCTGTAAACTGTAGTGAATGAATTGTGCAGGTGACCATGGCAGCCAATTTGTGCACAGCAATTTCCCGCAAACAGCTATGAAGTGAAAGACCAATGTTTTTTATCTGAAGTATTGTTGGTCAGGGGAATGGGAGAAACGCCCTTCGCTTTTCAAATAGTACCAGGGGATCTTTAACATCCACTTGAAAATCAGATGGGACCTTGGCTTAACTTTTCATCTGAAGGACGGTACGTCTGACAATACGGTACTCCCACAGCATTGTATTGGGAGCCTGCACTATAATCTCAAAAGTCCTGACGTGCAGTTTGGAATCATAGATTCATAGAAATTGACAGAGCAGTAGACGGCCATTCAACCCATTGAGTCTGCACAGGCTCTCAAAGTTTGAGTCATAAATTTTTGACTTGCAGATGAGTGCATTTTTTTTATTAAAGCAGGGGATCTTAATGTATTCTGAACCAGGCTGACGATTTTGTTCATTCAAAGTTTTATTTTCACAACGGGTTTAAGGGGTAATGATGAATATTTATAATAGAGTAAATAATTATTTCTATTAATAATAATAATCCTTGCATTTGATATAGCGCTTTTCACGTCGGGAGGACGTCCCAAAGCGCTTCACAGAACACGCTGTAAAGTGAATTGACTGTATATTTGTGGGCGAACCACGGCAGCCAATTGCGCACAGCAGTGTCCCACAAACAGTCGTAGATTGAAAATGACCAATTTTTGTTGTTTTTGTTTTGGAGGGATTATTATTAGGCGTGTGGAGTAAGGAAACTTGCCCAAGGTTTCGCCCTGCCTGGAATTGAACTCAGGTCTCTCACTTGCAAAGCGAGTGCTCTAACCACTGAGCTACAGGACTCCATTGAGTCAGTAATGAGAGGTCACAAATTTAAATAGGTCACATCATAAAACAAATTAGAGATTACAAAATATTTTGTCGCAGTGTGGTTGCAATTATCTACCGCAAATTGAAGCAGACTGGATAACTTGCCATAAAAGGAATTAGATGGTTGAAAAAAATATGTTGTTTGCCCACAAAATTCAGTCACTAAACTTTGCAGTATAATTGTGTGAAGCACTTTGTGATGTCCTGACGTGAAAGGCGCTATATTGAATTGCAAGGATTATTATATTAGGGGTGGGGGGTGAGCAGGAAAGTGGTTCATCTCGAGAAAACCCTAAAGTGGATTCAATGGGCTGAAAATACTCCTATGATTATATGAAAATTGATTTGTTTCAGTAATTCATTGCTTTATATTTCTTTGTTCCCCTGGAATTGAAGTTTAGGTTAACTTGAGATTTCAAAAGTTCTCTGTATACCTATTTGAAGTGTTTTCTTGTTGTTAGTCATTGACTTCTCTTCAGAACTGATGAAGGGAGACATGCATCCATCTCAAGTTGCTGACTCACTCAGTGATTTTAAGTGTTGCATTCTGTTTGGTCATTTTGTTGCCCACATAACTGAGTTGTCACATGTGGAAGATTTAAAGCCATAAGATCACCAGCAGATGGTGTTGTGAATCTGTTTGAACACATTCCCAAGGTTGTGTTAGGAAGTCAATGCCTATAGATTGAATGGAATATCTCCGAAGTGGTATTTTTAAATGGGAGCTGGAAAACATGTTTCCTACAGCTGAGTGCCTTACAATTGGCATTACATCTTTGACCCAACTGAGGATTATCAAAAGGTAACTAAGGTAGGTGGTTTTGAGTGACTGGGAGCCATGGGCTTAACCTGTATTAAGATACCTATTTTGTGGAAAATTAAGTCTTCATGCAGTCAGCACAAACAACAGAAACTTGTATTTATATAGCGTCTTCACGTAGTTAGCGTTTCAGAGGGCTCAGCAGGCATCTATGATGGATTTAGAAAATTTTAATATTAATCATAATCCTTGTATTTGATATGGCATCCTATAATATTGTTGAAATGTCTCAACGTGGGCGAAACTCCATTCTCTTTGAATAATGCCAATTATCTATTTTATGGAAAATTATTATGAAATATGCTCTATGCCATTCATTCTATCTACACTAACTTATTTAATGCTGCCACATTAGTAAAATAATTAACACAAGCCACTTGCTTCATCAAGGACACAACCTCTTGAGAGTTATTGATGTATTATATTTGTCTTGCACATTAGATTTGAAATCATTTTTATATGTTTGGAATTTTATGGAATACTAACCAAAATGTAATTGTGTTGCCACATAGGGTTAGCTGACTTGTTAAATATTTTATGGTGCATGCATCAAAATCTTTTGGGAGAGGGAGAAATGAGCTCCCAGATTATTTAAGTATTTTATCAAACTGCTGCTTGCATGATTACCTGCATGAAGCTTTTCTACCTGTCACTCCTGTCCTCACCAGGCTCCTTTGCCTCCCCCTGTTTTCCAGTGGATCGACTTCAGGGTCCTCAGTCTGACCTACTTTCCTTCACAAGCTTGCTCCTCCCTACATGTGACCTTCTGCCTGAAACGTCTGCTCCTTCCACTCACTGAACTCCCCTGCCCCACCATCGGTAGCTGA